GTTTTCGACCTCTGAGTTCAACTAGTGTAATATATATTCTCTCAAGCTTTCATCAAAAATTACTTAATTTAATTAAAAATCATAGAAAATTAATGGATAGTGTGTAACTTTGTATTTAAAAAAGCAACTACATATCCAGACCATCCCAATAAGTATGAATAATAAAGGTGCATGTGTTTTCCTTTATATTGGTCATAATAGTGCATGTGCAAATGAGCAAATTCTCAGCAGAATTGCTTAGGGAATACTCAAAAAGAAATTGTGAGAAAAAAATTAAGTAAAATGGGACCCATATTTCACCTTTGCTTGATATTTGCACTGGCCATGCATGTGGATGGNTTTTTATTTTTTTATTTGTCACGGACTTAGAGTGCAACTCTTGGAACCAAATCAGTAACTTTGCCCAAATTGTCTCTTGATTTGTTGTTATTTTGAAAGAGTAATGTTTTTTTTTCATTATGATGATAAAATATCGGTGATATGCCAACTCATTATCCCTCACATTTCTTTCTTTCTTTCGTTCACAACCTCTCTATCATAAAAATTGAACTGTACAATTTCATTATTCCATATAATCTGCCACATCACCGATATTTTATCATCATAATGATAAATAGTATTATTCTTTTTTTTTTTTTTTCCAAAGAGTGAAACGTGAACAATTTCATTAAATGGGTGATACAGATACTTGAGTTCACGATTTTTTCCTACTCTGATGTCATGTTGAACAATTTGATCTAAAAACTTAAAATGTAAAAAAGATAGAATATGTTTTCAACGAAAGAAAGCTAAAACAAAAAACAAAAATATTGTCGTGAATAGAAGGCATAGAACTTAGCTAATAGTAGATTGGTTCCCAAATTGTATCTATGTTTTGTATGATGCTTTAATTCACTCAGCCAATGACATAAGAACAACATGGTGAGATCGTGGCTAAAAGCCTAATGTATAAACAAAAGAGAGTTGGGTTTCTTTTGTTGGAGTGGTTCATAGGGAATACAACTATTTCTCTGTCTTTCTCGTAAGAGAATTAAATTTAGTAAAGGAAAGTATCTTTGTAATGGTGATCAAGAACTTTAAGTGCAATGGCCTCTTTTTTGCATTAAAAAACAAAATAACAAAGTATACATGAACATGATTCATACCTACACATTTAACAAAATACTCCTATTACAAGTATGAATAAGATTCTTGTTATGCATAGGAGTATTCGAAAAATTAAGTAGAATAAACGCGTATTGTATTCAGGAGAATAAATTTATTTTTGGGTATACTTGTTCCTTTTTCTTTTAGCCAACAAAACACAAACACTACTAGTACGGTTACATGTTCGTACCGATACATGGTATTGTGTCCATATTTGATTGTGTTGTGTCATATCAAACTCAAAAAACTCCAAGACACGTCTTATATGCCTTGAGTCTGTCTAATTTTGTATATATTGTTTAACTTACAGTTATTTTACTATAATAAATAACCAAAGTTAAAAGATTTCACAAACAAATATGAAAAAAAAAGTATTTACTTTATTAAAAATTAAAGATATAATATATAAATGTACGATTTTAAAGAGTTTAAAATTGACATATCCTAACACGTGTCGTATTTTTTTCAAAAATTAATACGCTTCATCCCCTCCATCGCGTGGAACAATTAATATATTTTGGGGTATCGAAAAAAAAAAATCACTATAGCACGATCAGTAAACTTGGGGGGAGATCTTGACCTAAAATAATATAGATAGGGAGATCATAAGGGATAGTGATGCAGCACAACATACCACAATAAATCCGCTCAAACACAGTTTCTTATTAAATGAATCTGCCTTAGACAAGGAACTATTGATACATTAGGAATTCCACGGGTAGAAATTACTATAATATGTTACTGGAAGTTGGCATATACATATAGCTTCTGTACACAGCATTTCACAAGATCAAATGCCAACCACAGAGCAGAAGGGACATCATCTACAGCTCTGTAAATCTTTAAAACGTACTTGATGAATTTTGGTACCACGACCTCGTTCAAATGCTCCACCACCCCACATCGCTGAGAAATTCAACTTCTGCAAGATCGAAACTCAAATAGTATATAGGAATGAAGCGATACTGAAGATACACCAAAAGAAACTGCAAACAGGGAATGAAATGTGATCTTCGATCCAGGGATTTGATGATGAATTAAAACTCTCTAAAATCAAATGAGCTCAGAAATTTATTAGGTACAGAACATTGGAGGAGAAAAGATTCCAGCTCAACCACATGCAAGTTAGATTGTATCAAATTGCATGTTTACATATGTACGGAATTGAGCCGTTTTTCTTCTCATTTATGTAAACTAAAAATTTGCATAAAGTATTTCGACGACCACGCACATGTAGCATGCCGCCAGGGGGGGGGGGCGCACATGTATACATTCATTGGTCAGTCTTCTACAAGCATATAGAAAACAATGAGATATCATATAGCTTATACGGGTGTGTAGTACCTGTGGATCCTATGAAATGTGTGGATAAAAAGTGGATTGATCGATTATAAAAAGTGTACAAAAATTATCCAAACATAGGCTACACCCTATGCGTTTCCATAGTCCATTTTGTCAACCAAGTGAAAATCCAAGAAATAGAAAGAGCACGCATGTTTAAGCTGCATTCTAATAATGCTAACATCATAAAAAGTTGAAACACCAGTATGGAGGAAATATAATATGTAACTCAGATCTATAAACGCAAAAGCAGAAAGAAAAGCACTCGTCAACCAAATCATCAAAATCATTTCTTCAAAGGGGTACTTAGCTTTATCAGAAAAAGAATAAATCCTACAAGTGAAATCATCTAAAAATATAGACAAAATGTATTATTGCAGAATTGGCATCAGACTGTGAATGGAAGCCTTACAAAAATTGTCACTGCAAGTATTTCATAGATCAACACCCTCATCAAGGCCTTTAGAACTTATCATCACATTAGAATCTATCTGCTTGTCAAACTTCTTTTTCCTCCGGGCTTCAAAATCTTGAAATCCTTCCATCTGAAAGATAATTTTGGTGATTACTTGCAGACAGAATTGGCATGGTACCATGGATATGCTTGTGATATTAGCACCTGTTTGGTATTAATTTTAACTACACATTTCATGATAATCACAACTTTTCAAGCCACGCACCAAATTGGGGCTAAAAGTGCATTGAATCCTGTGAAACAAAAACGCTAATCTCACCTGTTGAAATTGATCCATAACAATGGGATTGCCATGGAGTGATATATTCTGTAGAATTCTGCATTCTTTCAACAAATTTGGAGGTATCTGCAAAATGGAAGAAACTAGAATTATGAATTTAACACTAATATAAAACCAAAATTCAAGTGGAAAATCCAACAATAGAAGACAACCGACAGAAAAATAGCCTATTAAATGATACAGAGAGAGAGAGAGAGAGAAATAACAATAATTAAATTCCAGGCAATATGGAGTTCTATTAGAAAATAAGAAGGCAAAAGTTCATAGAATGAAAGTATCGGAAATTTATTAAGAAGAAAAGGGGGACGACAACAACTTAACAAAGACTAGTAGTCTAGTACCTGCTTCACATTATTATTGTTCAAGGACAGTGACTTCAGATGAACGAGATTGCAAACTGAAGCAGGAAGATCTTCAATGGAATTTTCTGCACCAGATAACAAATGATGCTATTAAATAGGAGGGGTAAAGAGTGAGGGAAAACACAACAAAAGGCTAATGAGCAAAATCATTCTAAAACTACAAAACAGACAAGGTAAAACCATGTACAAACCTCAAAGGCCAATGTTACACTTCCGCAAAAGTAAGAAATGCAATCACTTCCACTTCTAAAGATTCAAAATAAACATGCGGTGCAGAAAAAATTATTGATTCTGATGATGAAAGCTTATAAAGAAAAAACTCTACTATTATCTATTGACCTGTGAGGAAAGAAAATTTTAGTTGAACATTTGTACCCTCCAAAACTTCCTTACCAAATATGGTAGTAATAATAACCTTATTTGATTGTTATAGGACCCATGGAGAGAAGATATTTCTTCCATCTTTTTGGTTATTCTCATTTCTATGTCTTTCGTCTCTTCATAATGCAACAATATCTAATTCGTGCAATACTAAGTGCACATCAGGTTTTATATATTACTAAGAAGGAATTTCTGCCAAGAGTTTCTGCAACATATTTTGTATTAATCTCAATGCTAGGTACACAAAATAAGTGGCAGTTTCGCTTAGTTCACCCTATTCATTTCTACTTTCATCCCCAATTATGGTGTCTTGGTAAGTGCTGAACCATTCCAATGTAATCTTTATACTTGTACCTAGTACAATCACATTAGGAATCTAATGCCTTCACCTGGTATTTGATCTTTCAGAGGGTACATCGAGATTCTATAGCCTAGAAACTGAATGAATGAGCACCGAACAAAAAAAGAAAAAGAACAAAAAAAATTCTTCCCAGTTGGAGTGTTCAATACCATCTTTTTTATTTCTTACACGTGCTTTTCATATTTCAAGTCTGAATAAACATTTTAGACAATTAAATAGTCTGCAAAGTGAAGCTTGCCTAAATCCCAATGAACTACGCTGAAAATGTTGATTCATGTCATCAGATAGGAATAGCCAGATAGCCCCTAATCAGTAGTATGTCGGATTTTTACAACAAAGTGATTAAGAGAATACCAAAAAAATAAAAAATACATTGAGAAAAACCTGCACCTAGAAAAAAATATCAGATAACTAAAAAAGTGCAAAATTCTCGACAAATCTAAATGTAAAAACATCCAGAGAGAGAGGGAAAAAGCAAAAAAACCAAGTATAAAACTGAGATTTTGCATAAAAGTACTGTCAGATGTCTGTCAACTCTAGTAAAAACCGAGAAAGGATAGATCTGAAGGTACCATTCGCTTGAATTTCTTCCAGAGAGAAGCAACTACCAATGGACTCAGGAAGAGAGTTTAGCTTGTTGTTTGACACGTTTAACAGCACCAACTGCAAAGTCAAATGGTCTGCATTAATTCAGAAATTCCAATATATATCAAAACAGAGTACATTAATTAAAAAGTTATGCTCCAGATCTCATTAAAGATATGTCAATTCTAAATCAACCACTCTTTAGACGGAGCAATTTGGCCGATCTACTGTATACATTATTAGCATGTATCTTTGACATCCATGGAAGTTGGTACCTAAGAAATTCTGCAGTTATATTCTATTCCAAAAGTATAAAAAAAATACATGGCACGTTAGTATTGGTCATTAGATTTGCTAAATGATTAAACTTACAACTTTTAGATCACAAAATTACCAAATCACTGTTTACTTTGAAGACAATTCAATTTCATTTCCGTTTTACCACTTAATTCCAAGAAATTGAATTGCATCATTTGACAATTGAAAAACTGCTTTTTTATTATGATCCCTAGTTAGTACATTTACTAATCTCAATGATGGAATTTATGATTAAACAACTAAATTCCATTATCATGAGTAAACTTAACTTCCACTTTTTCCTTAAAAACTCAACTAATATTTCTGGCCCACTAATTAAGGGTGTGTTTGTCTCCCATTATTGGGAGAAAAATAGAGTAATGAATAGTATTTTTTGGAGAATGTTTGGTTAAAAAATAAAGTAACTTTATTGGTTTGTGTGTAAAATATTTTATTGGATGAATGTGTGATGGAGAATCTTAATGTAGCAAACAATTTTTTGGAATAATGGTAGACAAACGGGGGCCAAATCTATTCATCTTTTGACATTTCTATATCCTTCACATTGAATGACTTCTCTTACGATGTCAATGGAAGTCTCGTAATTATATATGATTTGATGTGCAGGTAGATGCAACTCTGGATTCCGTTTCACAATTCTTTCATTTTCAACTCCAATACTACAATAGCATAATTACACATAGGTGATCTTTCACTTATAGATGGTAACTCTACAAGTATACATTATTAAATATGGTATGCAAACTGGTTTGAGTCTTACTGTAATACCCATACCTATGGCCTAAGTTTATTTAGATTGAAATTTTAAATGATTGAGATAAAATCAAATTCCTATAAAGATAATATTTTAAGTTTATCTATATTTTATTTAATGTTAAAAGATAATTGAGATAATATTTCAATGTTATCTCTTTCAATTAAAATCGAAATATTAAATTATAAAGATAATATTTTGATTTTATCTCTACTTTATTTAATTTTAGAAATTATGGGGATAATTTTTTTTTATTTTTTCGTTATTTTAAATTTATTATCTTATCTCATTAGCTGAAATATGGTTGAGATGATGGTAAGATTCTATCACTTTTAAGATTCAAAATTCAATTGAATTAGAACTCTTTGAGCATGGTGGCCCCCTATAAATAGGTATCATATGCTCCCTTTTCTAATACATTTATTTCTCTTTGAAATTCAAACAAATACAAATATTGTATATTATTTAGTACGTGGGTTAGGAGTTGAAATCTCAAATATATTCCAGTATTTCTCTTATCATTTTCACAAGATATAGTAAATTTATAAGTATTTTTATGGGATTATATGCGTACGTTAGATTTTTGAAACATTGATTATGAGGCCCTTTATGTGTGATTTAAGTTTGGACCGGAGTATAATAGAGCTACGCACGAAAATTTCAGACCACCTATGTTCGTTATAGATTTTTGTGTCTCACTATGTATGTATGTATGTATGAAGTTCCTTAAATTCTGTACAAATATTTATCCATGTACTTATATGCTTATTGAGATTTTATCCCACCCCCCTCCTTATTCCCCTTTCCGGAAATTGATTGTTCGTGGAAATCAAGGCATGAAAGGACAGGCGAAGTGGCAATTGAAAGGGGACCCACCATGCACATGTCTATTTACTTAAGAACTTTACTTTTATTTACATCTGTAGAAGATTTATTAATTTGATGTCAAAACTTGATAGTATTTAATAAAGTTTTAAGTTGTAGAAAAATATTTTTTTTTCTTCATGTTCAAGATAAAGATTTAGTGGCACTCGAATCCTAGAACTCAGGTCGTTACCCTTACATATCCACTTCTTTACCTCTAGCGCTTCATGAGAGCTGTGAGACAATATAAAAGCATTACTTCTACCTTCAGCTTCAAATCATAAAGAATAAACATAAATTTGATGTATAAGAATATAAGAGAATGGTGCCCACTATACTAAATCTATGAAACTTCACAATGATGAGCTATTATAACAGAATTGTGAAAAAAAGTGCAAATAAGATAAAATGACATAAATTGTTGATGGCATAAGATTATTGCGGAATTGAAGAAAACAAATGGGCGTCAAGCATGAAATTACAAGTCTGCATCAATGGCCAGCAATAAAAAATATATTATGCCGAAGATCAAATATATGTCAATAAACACACCAAGCAGCCAACATTAGTAACTCCAACTTGGTACAACCAATGATATTTGACATGCACAAAAACAATGTAATTGCAACTCACAAATTCTGAAGGATGAATACATAAAACAGTAAAAATGAGCTACTCACATTGCGCAAGCTCCCGATAGTTTCAGGCAAATTCAGTAGCAGATTTCCAGATATTGATAGCCGTTCTAATTTCACCAACTGGCCCACTAAAATAAAGAAATAATGTATATAGAATAAGTTATGGTGTGCTTTAAGTAATATATAACCCTCTAAGTTAATCAAGCAAGGGGAAATTTAAACCAGAGGATCAACCACAGTCATTAGTAAATCCACTATATTGGAGAAGAAGAAACTCACATTCATCAGGCAATGTGGTAACTCGATTTCCATCGAGTGTCATAACTTTTAAAGATTGAAGCTTCCCCAGGTTCATTGGAAGACGCTCAATAACATTATCAGCTAAAATCTGTAAGAACCAACCTCTCATAAGAAGTTCATCATGTCATTATTTATATAAAAACATTAGATTACTGGGAAGTAGTAACAAACGTCAAGTGCAAATACAAGATTTCACCTGTGTCACAAGAAAAAATGAGTATATGTTTGACTGGTCAAAGTGAAACTGACACTTGTTACAAAGCATTTTCATTTTATTAATATAAAGCATGCATATGTAGAACTAACAATAATTTGAATGTTATATTATTTTAAAATTATTAAAGTAATAATGATTTCAAACTGAGATTAAATCATTATAAAATCTTACCATAACTTAAATACTTTTAAGTAATTTGACATTCTGCCTCCCCTTATAATACTGACTTTACCAAATGTTTAACTACATACAAAGTCAATGTAGCCAAAAATGCACAATGAAATTTTTTTAAAATAAATTAATAAATAACTCCAGCTACTATACTAAACTGTTGATCCACTCAAATGTACATCTTTGAAAAGAAGAAAAGAAAAAAGAAAGATTGCTCAATAAGTAACTACTTTTTTTTGTAAACCAAACCATTAAATGTTCTGTTTTATCTTCTAGGAAATTCAATAAATATTTATTGCCTCCGCTACAATATCAGAGGCCACTATAGAGATTTTATACTCCCTGCATTCCATAAAGATAGACTTGATTTCCTTTTCGCCTATCCAAATTATAGGTTACCTTCCTTATTGAAAGTATAGATATTTTTTAATTTTCTAATATGCCCCTGTTTAATGTACATTTTGATCAACAAATATAAACAAATCCTTTTTATACCATTATTTAGTGTAGAGATACATTAGGAAAAATGTAAGAAAAATTTATATTTCCAACTATATTAATTATATTTTCTTAATCTGTGTGAAAATAGCAACAAACCTATCTTTGTGGGACAGAATAAGTAATAAATACAAACAAGTGTATTTGCTTATCTTTAGATTTTGGCTTAAATCCAATCAAAAGATTGCAAGAGTCTAATTTCAGTCCAACAGGAAGCATGCTGATGGCCAAAGTAGTTCAATACTTGCAATCTATTACATCATCAAACCTAGTTTTTGAATCGGTAGAATTCTTTATGATGGTTTGCACCTCATTACAAACTGCGACACTGTCTTTACTGAATTGTTAAGCTTGGTGAACGACAACTTAGACTTTCGACTCAAGACATTCTGTTTAGTTCATCCACACAAATAAAAAACCGGTAGGCATCGACAGCATTATTTTAACAAGAATAGAGATAACGGTCTACTTTTTGTAAATTCCTCGTGACTTTAGCTTTCACCTTAAGTTCTGCAACTCTTTTAAAGAGATATAAGACATTCAATTACCCATTGCGAAATTGCACCGTTTCATACATGTTGTATTTAAGTTTTAAAATTAATATATGTTCAAGAAAACGAACACCTAGATACAAAAGCTCATATCTGAATTCTTACCAACCGTTGCAGGTTAATCAATTTGCTTATCTCCATGGGGATATCAACTGAAACAGCACACAGAGAAAGAGAGAGTTTTAGGTGAGTGAATTACAGGCACAAGAACAGATAATTTTTTGAATTTGCTTTTAGTTTGTGTGCACGTACAAATTCCAATACCAAGACTTCTATGAAACTAATGCAACCTCAACACTAAAGAATTGATTTAAAAAACAAAAATGCTAACAAAAGCGTGTGCTTCAAATACTAAAGATCATTACCCAATCTGTTGTGCGTTAAATCGAGGGTGCGCACGGATCTTTCTAGGTCAATAACTTCATCAGGAAACGTCTGTAACCACAACAATGGAAAACCCAAAAACACAATGAGTATACCAGCATAAACAGAATACATACAATTCTGATAAAAAAATTCCATCGATATCTATCTGATTTTCCACAACTGAAACTCTTCTTCCAATTTAACCGAGATCAATTCAATTCAAAATACTAAATCATAATCCAAACTGACAAAATTATAAACCCAGCAAGAATTTGAAAAAATAAAGGCGATTAAAAGAAATGATGCCTTCAACTTGCAGTCACGCAGAGAAACAATGCCAGTGGACCGCCACCGAGTCACCCGACTCTCTTTTGAATCGGCGGCCTTGCTGCTGAAACAACCCATCCCCCTTCGGCTTCAATTCAATTCCTCTGTTCAGCAATTATATACACAATAAACATTTATAGGGATTGTTTATTGGAGAATGGAAAATTAAAAATCAATGGAGAGAAAAACTGTTTAATATATGATGGAAGAAGAGAAGAGTCATTTGATGGAAGGAGGGGAGACTTTGAACAAGAAACCGCGTTGGCGTAATATATTTCTTCTACAAATAGCGCGTTTGGCTAAGTTAAGAAAAATGCTTAATTACTTATCAAAATGGTTGCTTTTAAGCACTTTTCAAGTGGGAGTTGATCTTACATCTACTCTATTTTCTTGATTGGAAATAGTTTGCTTGTTTTCATGCGTGACTTTTCGTGAGAAGTAGAGATATGAACGCGAAGAAATGTTTTTGGAGATTGAGATTTTGCCCCCGTTTGGGCCACCTTATTTTCTCATTAAAATGAAAAATATGACCGTTATCTCACATCAACATTTAAATTCAAATTTTTTATCTCTTGTATGGGCCCCAATAACGACTATATTTTTTATTCTCATTCTATAAAATGGTGGTTATATGACCGTTATTTGCTTTTTATTGAAAATAAAGCAATCTAAATAAATATTTAAACCTGTTTGTTTTCATTCTTTCAAAAAAAAAAAAATTTATACGTACTCATTATTTGAAACTAAAATTTTTTTCTATTTTTTAACCACACATTCTCCAATAATTCATTATTCAAAATAATATTTTTCCAAAAAAAGTCACCAAACAGGGACTTAATTTCAAGTTTTATAAATCAAAATTTTAATTTAAATTAAAGTAAACAATTAATTTTAACCGAACATTTTATACACGATTCACAATTTTTTAACCACGTATTTTATAACCTAGTAACCTTGAAGGGTTGCTCAATTGGTCAGGTATTGAATTTGCTCCCTAATGGTCACCAGTTCGAATCTCCTCAGAGCCACTAAGGTGAGTATTCGATCGTAAATTTCAGGGTCTCGTCGAATTAGTTGAGGTGCGCGCACGCTGGATCGGACATTCACATTTATCAAAAAAATATATTTTATAACATATTAAAATTTTGATTTTAATCTCGTCAAACGTGGTCTAAATTTAAAAGTTGATAATAGATTAAACTCACCTTATTCGTCTGAAGGCATAGTTTTGATTTGCCCAAGGGCTTCCATTCATCTCAACACGTGAGTTTAATCAACTTAACAAAATGAAAATTTTAAATGATTGAAAACTCTTGAAAAGCGCAGTCAATTGGTCAATGTTAATACCTACAAGCTTTTGATCCATCTCAAAGGCTTAAAATCTACTTGCTACTTGTCAACTAATATTTACTAACATTGTGAAGTCGCAGGCTCGTCTCGAAACATCAATACGGTGTTAAAATGGATGGATGGATGGATGGATCATAATCCAATCACCGCGATAAATTTCTAAAGTTTTCGCCTTCATTCTTCTTTTAAGCAAGTAATATGGGACCTAGTATCCGAATTATCGTTCATGCATTTACTCGATTGTACCCACGACTAGTATAGACAGTCAATGATGTTATTTTTTCAATGCATAAATGGAGATTGTGTGAAAAAGGGTGTTAGTAGCTATTTGACCCCTCACTCGTATGTGCAAGAACTTCTTAGGGATGTCAAATGGGACCGACCTGCCGCGTAGTCCGATTTGGAAACAGCCTTTTTCTTTAAAAAAAATAAAAATAAAATATTACTTGTAGCAAGAACAACAAATAGAACATTGGAGTAAAGCCAAGTATTGACGGATGAAACAAATTCTTAGAACTAAATCACTAATGCTGTGTTTGATTACACGCCTTTTCCATGGAAAATGGAAGGTCTTGACATGTTTGATTGCAAACTTGTTGCCTGGAATTTGTTTTCCACACAGTAACCCACGCGCCTCATTTTCCTTGAATTCCCTGAATTGGTTTTCTTTTGATTTGCTTAGTTTTTTGTTTTCCAGCATTTTTTTTTTTTGGTAATTGAAAAAAGTTCTAGACATAATGGTAAAAAAAAATTTACTTTTATTGACAATTTTCATGCAAAATAAAGCCAAACGAATGGTATTCGGTATGGTAAAAAAAATTGAAATTTTTTTTTTAGCAATTGGAACAAATTCTAGACCTAATGGTAGAAATAATTATCACTTTAGTGAACAATTTTCATGAAAAATGAAGTCAAACGAATGCCAAACTTTCAACATTTTTCGGGTAGAAAATTATATCAATCAAACACAATTAATTACAATTGCCAGTAAAACAATTTATAAACAATTCAATTCCCTGTAAAACATTTTCTTTCCACCTATTTTTCACATTTGCAATCAAACGGACCCTAGAGTTATTTTTGAATTTTTTGATTAATTTTATAAAAGTATTTTTTTTAGTTATGGAGTATTTAGAGAAAATTAAATAATTGTGGGTTTACCTCTCCTCATCACGTAAGTCTTTCGAGGCGATTAGGTGATGGACGAAGCCCCTAAACGCATAGTTCAAATTGATGCTTCCTAGTTGATGTGTCACCCTCCCACTACAACACATCTTCTAGGCAATTGCCATCTTACACAGTGCGCCTCTTTCAATGGTCTCGACTTAGACAGGTCAAATCATATTTGACTATTTTCCAGTTTTTTTTTTTTTTTTTGTAATTGAAAAAAGTTTTAGACATAATGGTAAAAAAAAATTCACTTTTATTGACATTTTTCATGCAAAATAAAGTCAAACGAATGGTATTCGGTATTGTAAAAAAAATTGAATTTTTTTTTTTAGCAATTGGAACAAATTCTAGACCCAATGGTAGAAATAATTATCACTTTAGTGAACAACTTCCATGAAAAATGAAGTCAAACGAACACCAAACTTTCAACATTTTTCGAGTAGAAAATTATATCAATCAAACACAATTAATTACAATTTTCAGTAAAACAATTTCTAGACAATTCAATTTCCTGTAAAATATTTTACTTCCACCTATTTTTCACATTTGCAATCAAACGGACCCTAGAATTATTTTTGAATTTTTTGATTAATTTTATAAAAGTATTTTTTTTAGTTATGAGAGTATTTAGAGAAAATTAAATAATTGTGGGTTTACCTCTCCTCATCTCGTAAGTCTTTCGAGGCGATTAGGTGATGGACGAAGCCCCTAAACGCATAGTTCAAATTGATGCTTCCTAGTTGATGTGTCACCCTCCCACTACAACACATCTTCTAGGCAATTGACATCTTCCAAAGTGCGCCTCTTTCTATGGTCTCGCCTTAGACAGGTCAAATCATATTTGACTAACTCATGTGTATCATTGTTGCTCGTTAGAACTTTTTAGCCTACACGAGCAATGATGGCAGCATGTCGAAGATAGGCATAGGACAACTACAATAAAATAGAGATTGAACAGGGTATTGACGTGGCATCATCCTATTAGCCTTTTTTTTTTCCTTCCAATGCTAACTTGTCAAGTGTATTTCCTATTTAAATTTTGTAAAATTTTCATGTACTCATAACATTGTTCAGGACAACTAAGCGTTGCTACAAAGCTTACTGACAGGTGAACCATTAATGGGACCACATGTCAAGCAGACTTCAACTCTTCTCTATTGATATATATGCTCACACTTAGCGTCTCACAAAAGGTAATCCCATATTGAATGTGAAATTGAATATTTCACCACTCTCTTTCACTCTTAGTACAATCGGAGTTTGCTTTTGTCATTCCATCGAGTGCAAGTTCCCATCCTCGCACATGTCTCGTCCATTATGCCTTTTCCACACACCACATACTTCTATGGATGACTGACTTGAACGTTGAAGTGTTCATGACAATCACGCTCCCACCAGAGCTATAATAACATGTAGTCTGACGCTATCATCCAATTGTACAGCTAATATACACGTAGATAGAAATAAGAGACATGATCTATTGACAGTTGAACCTGTTCATATTTGGAGGTCAACAAAGGCCTTAACTAGTTTCCTACCCCTTTTTCTGTATTAGACATATACATTAGGAGCCATAAAGTTGATTCCCACCTTTTTTGAAGCAGCGTCTTAAAAAACGTAAGGTGTAGTTAGGTGTGGAGTCCAAACTTTGAGTTATGCGATCTTAGGTGATGCCTAGACGTAAAATTACATTTCTTATTTTAATATTATTTTTATTTTTTTAATCAATTTGAAAATTATTTAATAATTAAAATAATACCTATCAAACATCTAAAATTATAAAATATTATATTGGGAAAAAAAAAGCGCACTTAGGCAAGAAAAAAGCGTGCCTAGGCACAAAAAACAAAAAAAAAAGTGTGCCTGGGCCCGATGTGAGGTGTTTTGCTCATACTTCGGACTTAGATAACTCCTAAACGCATTTTTTAGAACTCTGCTTTTAAGTCAAGTAAGGACATAAATGGTATGGCACTCAAGATTTTATTGGATCGAGGAGAATTAAAATCAGTGGTGGACACATTTACATTTTCTCTTTGATTCTATCTGATTTTATTCGATCGAACATTTTAAATATGTATTTTTAATATATTTAAACTAACAAGATTTATCTAGTAATGAATCTAAATAATTCCACACAACTTACATATAATTAATCTATTCATTAAGTAAATAGATTTCCTATATTAGCAAAATGAATTGATAATTATCAACACAACATTACCACTTTGAACACCATCTATTTACTCTGCATTACTACATGCTAATTTTGTGTCATATCAAAGAATAATTATATTCCTATATACCCATGTGTCAAAACGACAAAATAACAACATAGAAAACAATGTAAATCTTAATCAAACAAATGCTAATCAACGATATTTTCGAAGTACATTTAAAAGAACAGATACATAACAAACACGATAGAACTAATTGGGGTGTTTCAAAGAATTGAGTAGAAAGGATTGATATGGACTCGAAAACAAGAGATCCTTCACCAAATGCCTTGAACCCCATAAGGTCCAATGGAAGCAACCTTCTTGACTCCTTTGAACTCCAAGCAGTAACACAACAGCTTAACCGCGCTATCCGTGCCTCGAATGGCTTGTCGTCTTCTCCTCGTTTATGCTACCTCGTGAAATCCCCGTTCTATCTCAGTCGAATGGATCGGATATATAAAGAGAACGCAACGATGTCCAAGAAAATTTCTTGCTCCAAAAGGGATCTTGGAGAGGCTCTAAGTGGAAAAGATGCAAGAGGAGCAAGAGGATTTGTGCTAATGCTATGGAATAAGGTAAAGCAGCGAGTTGTAACTTGTAAGAGTTATTAAAGGTCCAATTGAATATGTAGATTGAACTTTATTGTAACATTATGTGTATATAGAACTTAATTTTCCGTCGTCACCATCGGTCAGTGTACTTTTATTGTTGTTGTTCATGGACTTAATTTTTTTTCCTAATAATCTACGTAGATTTGTAGGTGGCGAAAATTCATTTGCTAGAAGCACTCGCGGGAGATAAAACTTATTTGAATTTGAGGTTAAAATATTCTATATGTCTACATTAACACAAGATTAAATATTATATTTTCTATCCAAAAGGATGTTAGTGCCGTAATAGAGAGAAATGCTATGAAAGAAAAAGGTGAGGACCAATTTGCAATCGATTCCAAATATTGGGATAACGTACAATTAACATGTAATGTGAAGAGAACAATTAACGGGGTTAATTTCGCTAATGGTCACTCGACCAAATTCACCTGCAAGAACAGTTAGAAGGCAATTTAGGGGTGGGCAAAATCCGATCGAACCCGCCAAAACCGTCCAACCCGAGCCAACCTGATCGGTTTGGGTTGGTTTTTTTATTATTTTTACACGAGTTGGGTGGGTTGATTGTGTAGGCGAGTTGAGTTGGGTCGGGTTATGGGTTAACTCATAAAAATCGAATAAATCCGCCATACTCAATCCGACTATGTTTATGAACTTTACAAGTGTTATGATATTGTTTGGAAAGTCTTAGAATAATATTGTAAGATTTGAATAGAATGCATTTTACGAAAAATAGTATAAGTAAATACACATTCAACACAAACATTTTAATTGCAAAAAATATTTCTTGACTTCATATGATTTAATATCAATTTGTCCATATAATATTTTCGGGCATGAAGTGTCAAAATAATTCAAATTTTTTTGTTCATTGCAATTATGGAGACCAAATATTATATAAGTCATGAGTCAATTATAAATTCATCCAACTCGATCTGTCTATTTTAGTCTTTGTTGATAAATTATTTTAACCCAACCCGACCGATACTTGATTGGGTTGGGTTTCAACATTTACACGGGTTGAGTTGGGTTAAATTATGATCAAACCGATCATGTTGGGTTGAGACAAAAATCGACCCGACCCGACCCAACCCAATACATGCCCACCCTATGGACTGTTCTTGACACAATGTTTCTGTAGCAACTGCGAACTTTTAAGTTAAATAAATTAATTTTTCTCGAAAAACGTGTCGTTAGAACGTAACCCTAATTTTCTAGAGAAACGCGTTCGTCTAGCCGTTATAAATATGAATTTAAATTATTTCGAATCGAACCGAATATTGAATAATTATTTTTATTTCAATTCGGATTTATTTTATTTAAATTCAATTATTATTAAATTCAAGTCCAATTACATAAGCCCAATTTTAAGCCCAATTATATAAGTCCAACACCTTGAATTTTAATTCTTTTAGCCCAATTCTTTTAAGTCCATTCAACTGAATCCAAAATCGGAATTCATTTAGTCTAGCCCAATTAGAAAACCCTAGAGCCCAACAATTAGGCCCAATTACCCGTCTAGGGTTTTGTGCCCTAATTGTCACTATTCATACCCCACAAGCAGTCCCACTCTCCTTACACACACGACATCCATTTGGTAAGAAAGTTTCCCTCCCCCACACTCTCTCAATTCCATTGTGAGACACCATTGATGTGTGCAGCCTAAACCACCAACAACTACACACTNCATGGTCATGTTGCATGACTGCCAAATGTGTAGGACATTGTGCATATTTAGACACATCTTCTATGGCCTATCATCTATCCTCCACTCTCTAAACCTTTTTTCCTTTAATCAATTCAAATAAATTTCAACAAAATCACCGCCACCGCCAGCAACCGCCTTCGCCGGCAACTGCCACCACAAAACTCACCTCCATCGCCGGATCCACTATCGCCATTAGACCTACCACCATCGCCAACAACCACACAAATCATTCACGGCCAGATCGTAGCTACTGCAGATCGCCACCAAATTCGTCAACATCACCAGATCCACCGCAAAACCACCTCACCACCGCGGGTGCTGCTGTAAAGCACGACACCCAACCACTGCAGGAGTCGCCAGAGCTGCCGGAGCCGTCTCGTGATTGTCAGAGGTGATGGATTGGTACAGAGAGAGAGAATGGAAAGACAATGGATTGGAAGAGAGAGATGCGAGAGATTTAGAGAGAGAAAGTTGGGAGGAAATTGATTAGGTTTGAGATGAAAATTGTATATTTAATATTTAAAATTTAATTGTGAAATATCTGATTTGTGAAATTTTAACTTTCCACCTGATTTTAGAATTGAGGATTTTAAAAGTAGGGTATGGTGTAATTTCCACTTATTTCAACCCGACCAATACTTGATTGAGTTGGGTTGGATTAAATTATGATCAAACCGATCATGTTGGGTTGAGTTTGAGTTGAGACAAAAATCGACCCAACCCAACCCAACCCTGCCCCCACCCCCACATGGCATTGTTAAAATTGGAACACGAGATTTCAGCTCCTAAGGAAAATGAGGCTTTCAAAACCTCAAATACCATATTATTTAGACTAAAAACCTGAAAAGAGTGAGAAACACAATCAAAACCTAAAAATAAATTAAGCAATGGTTGATTTTCCTCTATACATTGTCTCTTTGTGATTATATTTTATTTCTATTAATTAAACACGGGATATAAATCCTATAAGTTGGAAATGACACAAATTCAAAAAAGTGACAAATACTAAAAAAAGTGACAAACAACAATTAAAACTTTAAAATGGATCCAAGTGACGGTTATTTTTTCTATATGTCATCTCTGTGTAATTATTCTTTACTGGTATTAACTAAACATAGCACCTAACTTCATTTTAGGAACATAACAATTATGAGTTGAAATTGACATAAATTAAAAAAAGTGACATAAATTTAGAAAAGTGGCAATTTTTGTATAAAATTAGATAATAGATGATAATACAATAGAAGCTTGCAATGTTCAAATCAACATCATCATAGAGAGCATTTATCTCACCCCAAAGTCATCGTTATAACACAGAATAATTCCCTTATTGGGCAAAATAAACTGCATGGGAGAGATGTCAAAAAATCTGTCCAACCCAATGCCAGCGGGGCCCTCCCCCGAACGAGGCGAGGATTGCCCACTTAGTCGGGTCGGAGACTGGAGATGGGACTTCACCCCGCGGAAAGGGTACAAGTAACAGGGCCATGTCTTGCCCCCGCCCAGCCAAGCTCTATTTAATCTTTAATTTTTTTTCAACAATTTTCTTGAAATTTTGGCACATTTTTTTTTTTAAATTCTTGTCATTTTTTTAGAATTTGTCACCTTTTTGAATTTCTATCACTTCCAATTTGTAGGTTTTTGTATTCTTGAAATGAAGTTATGTTTTATCTTTAATTAATATATGTGAAATATGATGTCAATGCATTTTGTATTATATTAAGTGTGAATGAAGTTTCAACGATACAAAATTTGTCACTTCTTTTTTGGAACTTCTGTCACTTTTTTTAGTATTTGTTACTTTTTTTATTACTTTTTAATCAAAGTTGTTTGTCAAAAACTAACACTTAATTTTTTTACAGTAATTTATACTTTCAAAATACTTTTTATATGATTTTTTAAAAGACTCCTAATTTTAATGATATTTATTTAAATTACCATTAATTTTTTGTTCAATCGTGGTAACAAATTCATTGCAAATCAATTTCATTAAGGCCATGTTTGATCCACCCAAATTTTTCATGGAAAATGGAAAAAGAAATTTCATCTTCCACTTTAGGCATGTCTGATACACTTTTTTTTCTTGGCAATTCATTTTCTTGGTTTTGGCTCACACGCATCCAATTCTTGTTTTTGATGAAAATGAATTCCCACCAATTTGGGATTTGGTTTTTCAGGTTTCATTTTATTATTATTATTATTTTTTTTTCAATGAAAACAAATTTTGTAGACAATTGTAAAAAAAAAATTTCTCTTTAATAGACAATTCTCATGGAAAACAAAGTCAAAAGAACATCAAAAGATCCAAAATTTCAATATTTTTTAGGTAAAAAATTATATCAATCAAATATAATTAATTGACAATTCACAGGAAAACAATTCTAGACAATTCAATTCCCTGTAATTCATTTTCTTTCCACCCATATTCCACTCTTGCAATCAAATGAACCTTAAGGGAAAGTTGTTGTTGTTGGTCTTTTTTTAAATAATGATTTATAAAGGCAAACCATAAGAACTTCCTTTAAGATCGATGATAATTTTAGAGAGACACATTCCCTTCTCAAAAACTACGCAAAATTTCCTTTCTCACGTTTTGAATAACACAATGTCCCTTAAGGTTTATGACAGTTTCAAACACACTCTCTTTTTCAAAATGTTATAAATCCATTATTTCAAATTTTGAACATAAGCATTCCTCCATTGACCATTTTTTTCCGCGCGTGGCATAAATAATAGTGATAATGCTTAAAATGAATTTAAGAACTCTTTTCCATTTTGTAGCTCCTTTAAAAATAACGTAATATGTCTAACATAATATTTAACACTTCTAATTAAATCAACAATAAAATATTATTGAGACTATTATTTTTCAGTAAAAAATAACTAAGGCCCTTTTTGATTAGGGACATTTTCCATAGAAAATGGAAAAAGTTTTCCATTTCCCCAAGATTTCCTTGTTTGATGTGCAAAAAATGACCAAAAAAACATTTTTCACAAATTCATCCACGCGCCTGCTTTTCCTTGTTTTCAAGGAATGTGTTTTCTTTCGGTTTTAGAGGAAATTGATTTTCCACCTTTTTTTTTTTT